GGTTTCGTTCGGTTGGGTTAGGTAGTAGTAGTTAGTTAGGACGAACGGACGTGCGATGAGCTGTCGTATATAGTATATAGACACATAGGTAGGTAGTATATATATATATATATATATATATATATATATATATAGGGGAAAGTTTGTATAGAGCTTAGGCTCTAAATAATCAAATTAGAGGCTCCCTCAAAACTTCCACGCTCCCTCAAAACTTCCACGGTAGAGGTTGTTTTGATACCCAAATATAATCAAATTGATCATCTTGACATCAAGATACATGGACAAGAGAAAATAAATGGATTTTAATTTTGAAAATATGGCATCTTGTAAGACATTTATGGACTATCAATTGTCAAGATTTTCAAGTTTCCATAGTATGCTCGATGTACACTATTTTTGGTGCTTTAAATTTTATAACTAAAGATGAAAATATAATTTAATGCTATCACAAAACTTTTCAACATTAAAACCATATTTCTCGATACTATTTGAAGGTGGGTTTTAATTTGATTGTTTAGAGCCTCGGTTTTATACAAATTGCACCTGTATATACATGGAAGATATTAGGATCATCCCATTAGCTGATAGAATAGTATAAGCCTAATGATTCACATTGAATTTGAGTTGATATGATATGATGGTCAGGATTGTATTTTGATAATATAATTTTAATATTTTTTTATAGGACTGTATTTTGATAATATAATTTTAATATTTTTTACATAAATTTAAATAATATTAAATTTGAAGCATTAACTCTTCTTATTAAGGCGTATTAAATAAAATATTAAAAAAAACATTTGTATAAAATAATATGACCAAAATACTTTTGGTACTTTTCAGAGATATTTTGGGTAATTTATTTTATGTGAATATTTTTTTTGATATTTTTATTAGATTTCACTATTTTTGAAGAATAGTCACTCTAAATTTTAAATGATTTGGATATGTAGAAAAAAAAAAAAAATTAAATACGAAATACAATTGTGATAATTGGATTGGCCTAGATTCAATTTGGGCCGTTAGGTTTATACTATTCAATTAGCTTATGGGTTGACAGGAGCTTCATATATATATATATATATATATATATATATATATGGGAAAAATCCTGTAAGCTCAGAGGCTCTGATGGAACACCCAATAGACAAGATTGTATCTGGGCTGATCTCATGGATATTGTATTTTGTATTTTAATTTTTTGTATTTTTTATTTTTTACAAATCTAAATCTTGTGAAATATGGGGTGTCTGCAGGTGTCATCAAAGCTCTCTTAATAAAAATATTAAAAAATTTATTTGTAAAATTAAATTCACCAAAATATCCTTAAAAGTTTTTAGGGGTATTTGGGTTTATTAATTTTTTTATGAATTATTTTTTTGATGTTTTTGTTAGATTCATCTATTTTTTAAGAATAAATGTTCTAAATTTGAAGAGATTTGAGTTTGTAAAAAAAATTAAAATTAAAATATAAAATACAATCATGATCATGGGATCAATCTAGATTCAATATGAGTTATTGGACATTTAATGTAGTTGGTGGGCTGACCTCAGACTCTCCCATGTATTAAAAAAGGGGGAGAAGAGAGTACCAAGGTTTGTGGGCGATGAAGAGCGATTTGAGATCTTATGGACCTGGTGCGTTTTGGTATCATGTTTTGCCCTATGCTAACATGTAGATGTTTTTGGAGGTCTAAGATCTATAGGTTTTATGCATGGCTAGGTGGGATTTTACCTTGGGTCATATATATATATAGTTAGTGTGCGGTTTCTATAAGGTTGTAACCTTAAACAATCCAATTAAGACGTACCCTAAAATTTTATCATAATAAGTAATTTTGTTATAAAAAATTCTTAATATTATCTTAAAATCTATTTTCATACCTAATTAGAGAATTTTAAAATAAAAAAATGGTTAAAATCTAGTAGATCTATTAATATATGAAAATCTCGAAAGTGGACGGTCTAGATAATGTGTTGCAAGATGCATTACAATGTCTAGATGATCGATTAGAGGGTTTTTTCAACATTAAAACAATATTTTCGATAGATTTTTGTGGTGCATCTTTGATTCTACATTTAAGGTTGCAACCTTATATATATATATATAAAGTTGAATTTTTATTAAAAGACAAGGGTATTGAACAAGTAAAGTTTCATATAAAGTTGAATTTTTATTAAAAGGCAAGAGTATTAAACAAGTAAAGTTTCATGATACTAACTTCTAAAATATTATTGTATTTTTAAATTTTTTTCAAATTTACTCATCACGTTCAAGTTACCAATTAAAATAATTTTTAAAGCAAAAAGTAATGGTTTCTTTGATAAATGCATCCATTACAACCTCTTCAAATATTAACCTTTATATTTTAAGGATTGTTAATTCTAGAAAAACACATATGTATATTAAACCCGTGTGATTGCCCCACAAAAAAAGGGAAAGTATATAATGAGACAATTTACCTTTGGCACAAAGTGGTCACAATAAATCTTGACTATTGGATATGAAATTGGGTGGTTGCATTTATTTCATGAAAAAAGTTTATATAAGGATGCAATCTTATAATGTAGAACTACGGATGCACCTAAAAAATCCATCGGAACGGTAGTTTTAATGTTGAAAAACCCTTTGATTGATCATCTCGACATGGAGATGTATGACCATGAAAAATAAAAAGATTTTAAGTCTAAGAAATAGTGCATTTTACAATATATTATCTACACTGTCCATTTTCAAGATTTTCATATGTTTATAGATCTACTTGATTTTAACCATTTTTTAAATTTAAAATTTTATAATTAGATATAAAAATAGATTTTGAGATATTTCGAAGAACATTTTACATCAAAATTATATACCATAAATTTTTTTTGAATTTTGTGACTTACCCAAGTTTTCATATTTCACATCGGATGGTTGTAAGTAATTGTAACTTTCCAATTCCAAAGATAAATAGTCTCTCTATGCAATCCCATAAAAAAAACTTATTTCTATTTTCAATCCCTCTCTCTTTCAACTAATGTTTCTCCAACTCTCCATACCCTCTCAGGCCCTTAATCACTTCTCTCCCTACCTTCTCCCTCCACCCTTCATTGCCAAAAGCCAAAAGAGCACCTTTGTCTCTCATCATCCATGTTTCTCATTCTCATCCGCGAACAAAAGAAATCGAAATTACAAATGAAAATCATATCAAAGATGAGTTTCACTTTAGAGAGAATATGAACAAGCCCCAATAACAGGAAAGACTAAAACTACAAGGAGAACATAGATATGATACTTATATACGGATATAAGTACCAAAAATCTGAAACTTGATAAAGAACTTGGGTAGCATGTAGAGAGAGAGGTTCAAGAAATGGGGGACTAGAGAATGAGGGCATGGGAGAGAAGTGAAGTGGGATAAATGTGGGCAGGAAAAAAGGGGATCGAAAATAAATAAGGTTTTTATATGGGCATTTAAAAAAGGGTGATGTTTCTATAAGGCCTAGGCTTTATGGAAATAAAATAAAGCCTCGCCCCAATCACTCTCGGTAATGAAAATTTTCATGATGGATCTAAAACCAAGTTCTAATACCAACAATAAGATTTGAAACTCAAAAAATGGTACAGATCTTGCGGATCTATGAATTTTTATATTTAGGGTAAAATGGATGGTCTAGATAATTTGTTACAATATATTTTTTTTTTAGAGCTTAAAATCCTAATTACTTTTTACAACCATAATGTTCACGCCGAGATGATTGACGTAACAGTTTTTCAATACGTGAACGGTAATTTTTGAGGCTTTGTTTTGATAGGGCTGCAGCCCTATCAAACCATTTTCCTTTAAAAAGGAGTTAAACAATCAAAGTAAGGCGCACCTCCAAATAGTATCGAAAGATGGCTTGAAAATCTATTTTTCTCAAATTATAAAAATTTAAAATTTGAAAGTGGTGTAGATTGAGTAGATCTATGAACACTTTAAAAATTTTGAAAATTGACAGTGCGAAAATGCATTACAAGATGTACTATTTTTAATACTTGAAATCTATTTTTTCTCAAGTCCATACATCTTCAGGTCGAGATGATCATTTGAGGATTTTTGGGCTTCAAAGAAAACCTCTTTTAGTGAATTTTTTGGGTGTGCCCTTGCCCTTATATAATTTTTTTCCAAAAAAAAAAAGGTGGGGAAATATGAGAGTAAAGTATGAGATGAAAGGCTTTTAAAAAATTAATGCTACCCGATATTTAAAACATTGGAGGGGGCACTGTGAAATAGATACCAATTTTGGGGATTAGCACGAAATTTTCCCAACATTTTGTGTGTGGCTCCAAAGTTGCCCTTTTTAAAAATTTTCTAACTTAAAAGGGAAATTTTGCACAATTTTCCACTAAAAGTAACTAGGTACCTCCTTGTGTGTCGTACTATACCTTTTTTATTTTTATATTATTAATCTAAATAAACTATCAATTTAAAGATGGGAAAAGTTTATATAAGGTTGCAAATGTAGAATCACAGATGGACCTCAAAAATTTATCGAAAATGTTATTTTAATGTTGCAAAAACACTCTAATTGATCATCTAGACATTGAGATGTATGAATATGAAAAAAAAAATTTTGAGTCCTGAAAATAATGCATCTTACAACACATTATCTAGACCGTCCATTTTCAAGATTTTCATATATTTATAGATCTACTTAATTTTAACTATTTTTGGATATTAAAATTTTCTAATTAGATATGAAAATAGATTTTAAAATAACACTAAGAATTTTTTACACCAAAATTACATGTTATGATAAATTTGTAAGGTGCATCTTAATTGGATTGTTTAAGGTTACAACCTTATAAAA